GAACTGAAATCTAAAGTGGATCAGGTGATTCAATAAAGCTTGCTAACAAAGAACATAAACTTTATTAAAATTCTGAAGACAACAGAGTTAAAAGCCCTTTTTCATGAAAACATGCCAGCTAGTGAAGTTACAAGATTCAAAAATATACGAGGGTTAAGCAACCCTTAAACAAAAATATACTAGGGTTAAGCAACTCTTAAACAGAAACTGCTTGTAGTGTTCTTAGAAGCTGGAAAAGGAGAGTTTTTTGAACCCAATCTAAAAGAAAAACTTGTGTTTCGAGACTATTTTCAAAATTGTTACTTTGATGTTGCAGAATTTCAAATAAGCAAACAAAATATTTAGTTTACTGTACAAATGTGTCTGAGCTAATAAATCAACTAGTGGAAAAAAGAGAAATATCCACAGATTATATTGTAAAGATTGGAATAGATGAGGAAAGAGGATTTTTAAAGGTTTGTTTAAGTATTCTTGATAGTGAAGTGAATGAACCTAAAACTAAGTTCTTGTATAGAGAGGGAATAAAACAAGACAAATTTAAGGACGGAAGAGTTAAGAAACTTATTATTCTGGCCTTTGTTTAAAATGTTAAAGAGATTCACCAAAACATTAAGCAAATCATAGAACTATTGTGGATTTTGACTAAGAAGTATTTATTAGCATTTGACTTAAAGCTTGTGGATATTTATTTGGCGTAATATTTATTTCAGCTTTTTCTAGTCACCTTTGCAGTTGGTGTAAACTTTTAAAGCAAGAAATGCAGGATTTCGCAATCAGTGGCTGCTTAAGGTATTTAGAAATTAGTTTGGCATTATGAAACATTTTTTTTGTACAGTTGAAACATTATTCTAGATATTTTTTTTTAATTCAGGATTTTAATCTCCTTTTTTTTAGAACACTTGGTATGATTAGAGATAATGCAAAACAGTACAAAAAGGCTTATGAAAATCACATGAAAAAAAGTAAACTCTCAGCTGCCCTATTTAAGAATTTTGTACCAACTCCTTTGCTAGACCTACCAGATGGTACATCTTGCAGAAATCCTTCCCCCAATGGAGCTTCATTTATTTTCTGAAAATACAAACCTTTTGTATAACAGGTGATAAAATACTGTCAAAAACAGAAACATCAGTTTCCATTGATTTGTGGAATAAAGCAATTGGATTTATAAGGCCGAGGTTGCATGGTGGCCAATTCAAGGGAGGACAATGTTCAAAGCTATTAGATAACAGAAACATTACAAAAAATTCCCAAATCCAATATTTAAGTTATAACTGATGAATTAAAAATGCTTGTGCGTGGAATGAAAGTGCTAAATAATGTGAAGAAAATATGCTTTGGTCTTTAGACATATCTTACAAGAGTCACATTAGTTCCTACAAGAAAGCATATATGGCATTGAACACAAAAATATCCCCAAAGATACATGCTATAGTCATTCATGTACCAGCTTTTTTGGAATCAATGGTTGACAAATACCCTCGAAATGATCTTGGTTTTTGGTCAGATCAGGCTTCTGAATCTATTCATTATGACTTCAAACAGTTTTTTGAACAAGGATACAAAGTTCCTAGTTGTCAAAAACTGTATCAATCAAAACTGCTAAGATCGGTTATTTTTTATAATAGTAGACAGGCACATTTCAAGATTTAATTTTATAGGAGGCAGTTATGTTTTTAGAAGACTTATATTTTTAATTTTATATTTTATATGTATTTAAATATCAATATGGTAAATATCAAAGTCTCTATGGTTTCATTTGTCATAGGAAATAATTAAATAGCTATTTAAAATTTCCAGCAATTTTAAACCTCCTTATAAAGGTATTGAGCTTGACCAATGCATTAGAATTGTTTTTTAACATAAAGGAATAAAATTATTTGAAATGATTGTTCAATAACTTAGTAACCATAATTGATATAAGAACATATTCCCATCAAATATCTGTCTATTGTCAACATATTTCCCTATTAAGAACATAATCCTTTCAAAAATATGTCTATTGTGAATATTTTAAAGCTTTTAAGATATGTAATAGTCTTGGAATAATTCTTGATCAAATAAAATATTTATTGTACATATAAAGAAAAATACTGGTCTTTTGTTATGTTTACAAAAATGTTTTTTTTTTCTTGAAGCCCAAAATTTTATTTCCTTAGTGTTATTTTCTGAAACTAGAGGTCAGTACGGATCCAAAAAAGTATCACATGACCCTGGGACATTTTTTTGGTTTGAACCTACTTCCACGGTGGTGTGGCAAGCAACTAATTTTATAACGTTTTAGTAGAAATCACACTGTTTAGTGTTTATTCATAATTTTTAGTTTTGTTTTTCTAGGCAGCCTTTCTGACACCATACAAATAATTGTTCTATTAATTAAAAAAAAAAAAATTTATGGTAAAAATTAAAGACAACCATGCATGAGTGTATATATATATATATATATATATATATATATATATATATATATATAATATATATATATATATGCATGTATATATATATATATATGCATGTATATATATATATATATATATATATATATATATATATATATATATATATATATATATCTATATCTATATCTATATATATATATATATATATATATATATATATATATATATATATATATATATATATATATATATATATATATATATATATATATATATATATATATATATATATATATATATATATATATATGCATGTATATATATATATATATATATATATATATATATATATATAATATATATATATATATATATATATATATACATGCATATATGTTGCATAACATGTTATAAATACATGTCGTACATATGTTATGGTTTCAGTTTTTATTTGTGCTACTTTTTATTTTGTAATTGTTTTATATATATTGTCACTCTAATTTGAAATTAATTTTCATACAATATTTCAAGGGATTATAGCTACCCTCGTCAAGTATATACATATATATATATATATATATAAAAAACCGTTAAAAACAAAATAAAAACAAAAACAAATCAATGCAATAGTTTCTTTTCATTTAAATACCGAAACATAGGTTTCCAAAAGGAAGTTGTGACGTAACCTCCGTCATCTTGATTTAGACCGCCGTCCAAAGGTGAGTTTTCATGGCGTTGTATTTCAAGGGCTTCCCTCACTTTTCTGTTAAAATTATTAACTTCTACTTTTAAAGTATTTTTATTGTTCCATGAAAAATTACCATGACAATTTTTTGAATGCTCTGTTATGGCTGAATAATCCCATTTTCCTTTATATGTATTTTTTTGATGTTGGTAAATGCCAGATGAGATTTTTTAATTTTGTTTCACCGATATAACATTTATTGCAGGAGCATTCAAGTTTGTACACACCTGGGTAAGAATTTATAGGAAGAGCAGGTTTATTTTTTATGGTAAGTATATGTTGTAAATTTTTTGGAGATTTAAAGACTGGTGTATAACCTGCTTTTTTGAAAACTTTTTTTAACTTAGGGCTAATTCCTGGAATCTATGGTAAAGATACAATATTATTTGATGCAATTGATGAATGTTGAGTTTCAATATTTTGTTTTTTATTATGTAAATTTTCTTTAGTGGTTTTTATAATATTTTCCAGGCTAGTTTTTTTTATAACCATTTTCTACAAAAACATCAACTAGAAATAATAACTCTTGTTCAATATTATTATCAGAGCATAAATATAATGCTCTATGAACAAAACCTTTGAAAACTACGTTTATAATTTTTGGATCATGGCATGAATTATGTTTGATTTGGACATTAGTTATGGCATCTTTACGATAAACTTTAAAATCGTTACGGTTTTATATATATATATATATATATATATATATATATATATATATATATATATATATATATATATATATATATATATATATATATATATATATATATGTATATACTTGACAACGAGGGTAGCTATAATCCCTTGAAATATTGTATGAAAATTAATTTCAAATAAAGAGTTACATCCATAATAGAAGTTTTATTTTAACTATATTTTAAACTCTTTAATGATATCCTAAAATTTATATATTGAAAAATTAAATTTTTATATATTGTAATTGTCACCTTAATTGAAATATAACCATTTAGGGTCCACAAGTTTTTTTGAAAAAATGACTTTTGTGGTAACTAAACACTACACTTGTAGTTTTTATCCCTCTTGTAGTGTTCAATCATTCGTGTCTTCAAGTGGCGAGTAGTTTCACCAAAATAACAGGATTTACATCCTGCACAAACAAATTTGTAAACAACAAATGATTTAAAATCTACAAGAAGGTGATCTTTAGATGAAAAAAAGTTAGACACTTTTAGGCGAATATCAATTTTACAGTACCTCTTTTTGTAACCGATTTACAGTCTCTTAATAATTCCTTGTAATATTTGCTTCGTTAGCTCAGATGTTTTACCAATATAAGGGAGTTTAAAATAGTGAGAGTTTGTTTAGTTTTCAGATGATAATGGAATCTCATAAATACCTTTATTTAAGTTCAAGTTATGGATTTTTTCTGTTAGCCAAGATGAGTACATATAGCAATAATAATAATGTTAATATTAATAATATAAAATAATACAATAAAAAAAAAAAAAATTTAAAAATAAAAACATTATAAAACATTAAAAAAATAAAAAGAAACACATTCTATATTGAAAAAAAAATTAAAGTCAATTAAGTTTGCTGTTTTGCTGTAAATTAAAAAATGTTTTGTTTGCATTTAATTTAATGGTTTTGGCTTCTAGACAACACAGATATATTGTAAAGTTAAAAATAATTAGAAATGATGTAATTTGTGATTGATAGGTGCAGTAATGCGTGCATTCATCAACTGAGGGTTTTGGTGAGGGCAGGTTTTAGTCATGATGTTTTTAAAATTTAAAATTTTTTTTAGCCATGATGTTTTCAAAAACATGAATATTGTTTTCCCTACCTAAAAAATTGCTGTATTTTTTTTTTGTTTCATTTTTATGGTTTAGTATGATATACGAATTTGGCCAGATTTGTATCAAAAACATTTAAATCATCAAGCTACAGATCTTCATATTGGTGATAATGCAATGCCATTAATTAGAGAAATAAAAAGGAGATACAGGTGTGTTTAGTACTTTTTTTAAAGTTGTTAAAATAATTAATATTAAATAAGTATAATTAGAAAAGTAAGCAGAATTTATATAATTTGTTTATTCAATTTTTATGGTTTATTTATTTAGCCTAATTTAGGTCAACATTTGGAATTAATAGAATTCAACATTTAATTTATTTGCCTAACATTTAATTTATTTGCCAACATTTAATTTATTTAGCCTAATTTAGGTCAACATTTGGAATTATTAGAATTCAATATTTATTTTATTTGATCAAAAAGTTTAATTTATCTTTGATAAGAAACCTGTTTTTTTATGGGATTTTTTCTTTTTCAAAATATAAATGTCTATTAAAAATTTTAATAACTATTAAAATTAGTTTCACAAGAAACTATATTTGACTGGATTTATATTTTTTTCTACTAAAACGAGTCACTGTTATAATCAATGAGAAAACAATAAAAAAGAAAACTAATTTATATGTGAAAAGAAATAAAAAGAAAAATAAATCTATCTATTGGATCTATAATAAAAATCTATAATATTGGAGCCGCATCTACTCTTTTTAATGCTGAAAAATTTAGTGCCTTGTTGATATCATTTTGGGGCCCACATCTGATTGCAAAACCACAATTGACTTAAATTGTTTTCACATTTCATAATTGATATGGAAATGTATTTTGTATTTTCTATATTCTTTTGCGTCTTAATTTTGTATATTTGGATTGTCTGCATAGTCTATGTTATGTCTATGGTACCTATGATAAGTAAAAATCTGATACATTGGGGCAGTTGTTTATGGTATAATTAACTTTTACATGGTTTCCTTTAATTTTGAAAGCACAGTTTATACCTTTTCAGCATAAAATTGAAATTTTTAGTCACCACTAAAAATTTCAATTTTATGCTGAAAAGGTATAAACTGTATTGTTTCTTATAATTGTTAAAGTAGTTGTCAATTATATTTTAAGTGCAATACTCTGTTTGATGCAATATTACCTGGTTTGTGTCATGATATATCATGTTTTCATTTCTCTTTAAAATCATACCACCACTCTAATGAAGCTTTGCCATTTTTGAATAAATTCCAAAAGCATTATTCAAAAATGACAAACCTTTATTATTTGTGTTTTTAAATAGTGTTGAAGAAATTATATTGGTATGTATCAAAATCATTGGCTTACATTGGCTTGTGTCAAATCATAACCCTAATTACTAAAGCATTTAATTAAATGAATCAACAACTTTTCAGTTTCAACTGATAAATTTATTGTTGCTGTTGTTGTTGTTATTAGCCTTCTTCTTCTGTGCCGTCCTGCATTCTTACTTTTATTACTGTCTATCGTTATCAATTTTTGTACTTGAACTTGCACATTTTCTTAATGATATTCTTTGCTCTCTATAATGTTTCTCTTCTTTTAAGTTAACGACATCAATCCTTGAATATATATATCTTGTTCATATTTGATTTTTATCTCATAAAAGTTTGAAAAGATATCTTCTTATTTCACCCCTCCAAGCTTTTCCAAACATGTTTTCTTGCACCTAACAAAAAAAACAACAAAAAAACAAAGATTAATGATGGCCTAAAAGCTTAAAAGTGGATTTTCTATTAGAAATAAGAAATAATTTTCTAATATTAATAATAAATAATAGTAGAGTAGACCGGGGTGATTTTGCAACTTTTGCTGCTTTAATGTTACCTGTTCAACCTGATACACTTTTTCCATATACCATTAACTGAATAATATTGAATAAACTATATTTAGTTTAACCGCATTTAAAAAATTTAAAAAAATAAATTATTTATACTCATTAACACCAATTTGTATTACATGCTTATATGGGGTGATTTTGCCTTTTATGGGGGAATTTTGCCAATGTAAAAAGAGTTAAAGCTATAATATATTTTGTTGAATTAAGCATATTCTGTGCACATGTCGATGCAAAAGTCTATATATGCTAAGAAATGCATTATAGCCAGTCTTCTGATGAATCCACCCCTTGCTAAGCCGCACACACAGCAGTGAGTTGTTTTTTGTTTCTGTTGATGATGATGCCACAAAACTTGCTCAGAGGTGGGGTTTGAACCACAGATCCTTTGTTTCTTAGCCAATTGCGCTACCACTGCGCCACGGCTGCTCTTCTTTGAGCCATATGCTTTTGTTTGATTGAAAAAAAAATTCCTTTTCTTTCTTGAGCCACTTGTTTTTTTTTTTTGTTTAATGGAGAACTTTTTCTTCGAGTTACTTGGATTAAAAAACACATCCAGAGATTTTCTATTTTTTATATAAGTGAGTAATCAAATTGAGATTTATGCGTTGTATTGGCAAATTTTTTTGAAGTAATTAATGACGATGTAGTTTTTTAGCACATAAATAAGAATTATACCTCAACCATTTTGTTGTCAATGGAAATCTACGTCATGTAAAAAAGCCTGTTTACTTATCTTTCAGCATTAATTTAATACTTGGTACTCCAAATGTTTTTGCTGTCATTAATATTTTACTGCAATCTTTAACAGCTTGATTAGCCAATTGGAGATTGGTATCACTATAGGATTTCTTTTTCTTTGGGAGACTACTTTGGGAGATTCAGCGAATTTTAGATTTTGGTGTTAAGGATAAAAATGCAATAAGATAAGAAATGCATTCAATATGCATTTCTTATATTTGCATAACAAATGACATTTTAGAAAACAAAATTTTAGGAGAATTTTAAAAAACTATTTTTAAGTTAAATTATAAAGTACAAGTACAATGTTTCAAATGTATATCTAAAAACTATTTGATTTATTATATCTTCAAAATACTTCTAATATATTTATCATATGATAGTTCCTGATATATCTCCAATGATTTTATAAAATTATTTATATAATAATTAATATTTAGTAAAATCAATAATTTATATTTGTTTAGAAAGCAAAAATATTGTACATTATGTATATTTTTTTAACTGTGGGACAATTATATCATTCAAAATTAATAATAATGCCACTTGGTGCAAGAGTGACACGATTATATCAAATAATTACACTAAATAACAAATCTCATTTAAAATTTACAACAACCAATTAAATTAGGCGGCAACTATGACTAATCAGTAGTTATAAGGTTATACTTTTAAAATAATAAATATTTTACATCATCTTAACATGATGTTATGCCAGAATAACATCTTTTTCTTGAAATATTAAAAGTGGCAAAATCGTCCTCGTGGCGAAATGGCCCCAATCTACCTTAATATTAAACAGCATTATTTGTGTTTTGACTTGTTAGTGTTGCTACCTATGTTATTTTCTCAATACCTATGTATTTTTCCTTATCATTTTTCTCATCATAATTATATAAAACAGGTATGCCCATACTAACTTAGTACTAACCTAAGTACTAACTTAGTCTAAGTATATGTAAGAACTCTAATATGTTTACTTAAGAGTCATTTTATTCATCTTGCCTGTTTAAATCAGGTAAACCCATATCTTATCTATTCTAAGTATTAAAGGTATCTAAGATGCCTATGATACTTGGACTATTATCTTGTATCTAAGATTAGGTCAGGTATTTTGAATTGTTCTATGATATAATATATTAAAACATATATTAATTTCAATATAAATGGAAAATTGAACTTTTCCTGCCAGTAAAAACAGGGTGCTTTGGTGAAACTTCATTCTCTTGTGATTGATGTATGCTTGTCCCATAAACGAGCTTGTTTAATTATGTTATGCTTCTAAATACAGGGATTGCTTTTTTTTATACATTCTATATACAAGAATTGCTTTTCTTTTTCTAAGACTCAGAATAACAAGATAGCAATATCTAATAGCAATATCTATAGCAAAACCTTTTATTGTACTTAAAATAAAAACTAGCAAAGTTTTTAGTAGCTAGCAAAAATTGTAACTTGGCAGCAACATCTGTGGCTTGATTAGGCTTGATTGTGGCTTGCTATGGATGAAAGTAGTTTTTTTTAAAAAGACTTATTTAAAGCAAAATTGTCTTTTTAATAAAAACTAAATATTTTCAACTAGCTTTAGTTGTATAAGGAGAGGACATTTAAACACCCTTTTAAAAGAAAATTAAATTATTATTAAAGAATACCAATCATCGAAAAAATCAATTTTCACAAAAATGTCAAATCAGCTATTTAAAAAAACACTGATTCAAATAATATCTGGGTTTGTCAATGAGATGATTTTTTTATTTTTTGTATTAGTATAATATTAGGATATCACTAATAGTTTTTGGACACTTTTTCAACTTTTATCAAATGTGATTCTTCTATCTTATTATTTCCATGACTTATAAAATGATTTTTCAAAGTTGTTGAGTTTCCTAAGTACTTGAATATTTAGTTACAACGTTATACTTTTAAATTTTTTATAATTTAATTTTTTTGTTTGTTTTGTAAATATTAATAAGAATATAAATGAAAATATAACCCAAATAATATATATGTATATATATATATATATATATATATATATATATATATATATATATATATATATATATATATATATATATATATATATATATATGTATATATATATATATCTATCTATATATATATATATATATATATATATATATATATATATATATATATATATATATATATATATATATATATATATTATATATATATATATATATATATATATATATATATATATATATATATATATATATATATATATATATATATATATATATATACATACACACACATATTTATTTTAAAGAGAGTTTTTATATCTTCATAATCGCTTGACTCATGGGCCAATGGCTAAACATATGAAAGGTATTTTACGACCAAATAGAAGATATGCCATGCCATTTGGTCGAATGGATCCAGATGTTATTGAAGGAAGGAGAAAAATCCTTGAATCGTATTTAGTGGTAAGAAAAATAACAATTTGTTTATATGATTTCTTTTAAATTTTAGTTTTGTAATTAAAAATAAACTTTATTTATCAACATCATATCTTAGAGCAAAAAAATAACATTGGTTAGTCATTAGTGATGTGCTGAAGCCTAGAATTTGCCGAAGCCGAGGCTTCTGCTTAAGCCACTTTGCTGAAGCCGAAGCTTTTATATTTATAAAAAAATCTTGCGTATCTATCCTAACTATCTAACTATATTACTAAACAAACTTTAATTCCTTCATTCCAAAAAAGTTGCCTATTAAACGTTTTTGTTCATTCTGAAGGCCTTTTGAAAGTTCAAAAGACGTTTTTTTTAGACCAAATGCTGGCTAATAAAGCATATAGTATGTATTGTAATATTACAATTACAATATATAGTATGTATTGTAATACCGCAATTATTTTAATACACAAAATATTTCATTATCACTTTGTGAACTATCAATCATGATTATTATAAAAACCCTTGTAAGTTTAAGGAGTTTTAAGCTATAGCTTTGCCTTTTTGCTTTTTTTTTTTTAAATATAAATTAAAAAAAAAGTAATACAAAATTATAGTCATACAAAGGAAACAATACAGGAAGCAGTTGCATATAGGCATTCATTTTTTATGTGTGTAGTTAGACTTTTCACTAACTTACTAATTAGTAATTACTTAAAGTAATTACTAATTAGTAAGTCATTATTTATTAAGTAAATAACACAAGGTTTAAAGTAAATTTTGTATCTGTAATTTGAAGGTTAAAAAACCACACACTAAAAAAAAAAGTTGAAATTTCTACCTTAGGGTAGGATATGTGATATATTAAGGTAGAAAATTATACCTTACTATGTATATATATAGTAAGATATAATTTTCTACCTTTTAAGGTAGGAAATTATATTAAAATCAACCTTATATGGTAGAAAGTTACACCTTACTAAGGGTTTATCACATATCCTACCTTAAATAAAAATTTCTACCTTTATTTTTCAATGTGTGTGATATACCTATAGTTAGGTATAGTTTCTACCTTTTCAAGTTATACATATAAAATTATACCTTTAAGTAGAAAATTGTATGAAAATCATTGTTTTTATATAATTTTCTACCTCAAAGATTTACTTTATAATTAAACCTTATAAGAAAATTATACCTTACTAAAGTATATCACATATCCTACCCTAAGGTAGAAATTTCTACCCTTTTTTTAGTGTGTAGTTTCTTTTTTAGCTTTAAATTACAGATATAAAAAATACACTCATGGTTTTTGCCCCCAGTCAAGTGTGAATTTAAAGCTGAATAAAGCAAAAAAAAAAGAAAAAAAAAAAAAGATAGTTGTGTCAACAAAGAAATAGTTTGTGTCAACAAAGAAAATAAAAATATAATCAGTTTTGAAAATATTTTAGACACTTTTTCAAAATATATCCTTAATATTTTAAAACCTTTTTTACATATAATTTATTTTTATATTTCATCAAACCTCATTTTCCATATTATCACATTATATTTAATAACCCCATTATATTTTATAAAACCCTATTTTCCATAATTCTGTTTTTTTTTTTACTGGTCAACTTTGACCAGCAAGAATTCGTGTCAAAAAATGAATTCTTGCCTTTGAACCTGTTTATTTTCTATGCTAAATAATAATATTGTATTTAATCTCTTTAATCTATCAAGGCTAACAGGTTAAATTTAATACATTTAATAAAGTAGTAATTATTATTGCCCCCTTGTTAGTCTTGATACAAATGCACTTTTCAAAATGATTAGTTTAAATTATCAAGTATTAACAAAATAAAATTTATATTGAAACAACTTTTTTAGTTTAAAAATCTAAATAATATCAAATAAATTTTTATATTGTAAAACAATTGTTGTGGAAATACAAACAATTTGGTTCCTGCAAAAGTTGTTCAATTAAATTGCACAACTATTTTACATTATTTCTACAATTATTGAAAACTAAGCTTAAATAATTTTAATTACTGAAAATTAATTTGCTGAAGCTGATGATTAAGCAAACATAACCCTGGCTTCTGCCAAAGCTTCTGCAAAAATGCCAAAGCTGAATTTTTGGTTTAAGTTTTATATGTTAATCTATTAAGTCGTTTGTTGTTAAATTTTGAATTCAATATGAAACAAGATTTAAAGGGATCCCTAAGTGCTATAAAGATATGATCTCATATGAAAGAGCATTAAAAAAAATTGTTTGATGTATATTATTTTTTCTAAAATGTAATAATGAACACACACTAACAAATTTAATTTTCAAAAAAACGCTTTACTTCGATTTAAAAAAATGCGTCTTCTCCAAAGTTTGTTGACTCTATTGCCTCAAAAAACTAACGTTTGTACGTCAAATTAAACTAAGTAGACAAAATGTCATTATTGCAAGCGTTTAGTTGGTAATTATATTTAAAAGTAAAGTCGTTTTTTTTTAACTAACACATAATTACTTATAAGATTAAGTTTT